CTCAGGCACTGTTCGATTCTCTGTCTGTGAATGTCCCCTGTGTTCCATCTGACTTGTTGTCCCACTGGAACTAACTTATAATTTGAAAAATTCTCTTTGTAATGTTTCCAAAGAACCTAACCTAAAGAGACTCCTCTCCATTCACCGTTGCTTACAAAAATCTAAAGAATCCATCCCAAGTTCAAGGCCCTGGAGGACCACCCCTTGTCTGCTGTCCACAACTGCTTATTCAGTATATTTGCGGAATTATCTACCCACAATCTGAGAACTTGCAATGCTGTCCTGATAAGAAACACTCAACTTAAAAACGAAATAAAGTTGTGACAAGTGATGATATTACAATTTTTCTTCTCCAAATGTCACCAAGACAGCAGAACATCATCATTATTAATCACCACCTTGAACATCTGAAGTCTGAAATACGCGTATTCTCTACATTTCCATTCAGGTCACTGTGAGGCACATATTGAATTATATTCTGACTTGAAAAACGCTTTCCAAGTCAGAACACACCGCATTCCTAGTCATGATGCTTCAAATCATGTGGGACAGTCCCAGCCACGGCATTCCAAGTAATATTAAGACCACGCCTAAATAATGCGTGCCTAGAGTTGCAGGAAGAATGTAAAGGTTTATATTTTTAATGTCTTCACTGAGGACAGGTATAATTTATTAAGAAAATGACAAATAAATATATTATTTCTGTATAGACCAAGCAATCTGAAAAATCAACGTATAATAGAGCCAGTTAATGTTACAGTTATGTACCGTGGTTTTCCTCAATTTCCCCAATTTATAACTTGTGTTGGACAAGGCCGTGGTCTAGGCAACACGGAGTTTTCCTCCGTGGCATCCCAACAATTACTCCATTCACACACAGAAGAAGGCAATGGCAAACCACTTCTGGATCATCTGCCAAGAACGTATATGAACAGGTCCCAGTCCGAGAAAAGGATGGAAGGATCCTGTTCATATGGATCTGTCCTCAGACAGTACACTAAATAATAATAATAAGCCACATTCTACTATCCTGCAGCTCAGAAAATGACATTTCTTTCTCAGAATGTCTTCAGTTAAGTATCGGTAAGGTGGCGACGACATGGAGGCTACTTAGACCTTACGCAGTCCAGATAACATGATAATGAAATACAATAAAATATACAAAACTTGAAACAAGCGAACGGAAATGAAAGACACACAAAGCCTTAATACAAAGACCCGAAGGAAAGGGACAGCTGGGAAGACCAAGACACAGAATTGAAACTAATATCGTATTGAAAAGTTGTACTTTACGACAGCTTATAATTTTCAGGAAGTGAATATAACCGGTTGTAAAAGACGTAAGGAAAATCTAAAAGAGATTTAATTAAAGCAGTTTCCTTCCGTGACAATAAAACGTCAGGGATTTGGAAGGCAAGCTGGGACTGTTCTGGTACATTAACACTCCGAAATGAATATCGAATTATCAAATGCAAGCCGTGACCAATTCCACCTTCTCTGCTAATTGCTCGGCGAGTGTGGGTTCATTTAAATCTTAATTACAAACTCCGAGGCGACAGCCCCCATAGAGAAAGATTTCGCGTAGACACAGACGTGTGAAGTTACGGACAGATTTCTCTCTGCAAATATTTCTTACCCAAATCGAACTTTGATTTCGAGCTCTGTAAATCGTGTTCAGGAACGGAGGAGAGTTTCTCGGGGAGGCGACCGTTGAATCTATGATCTCCTCGTCGAGTCGAACATCTTCTGTCTTCTTATCTTGTGATTAGTTTCCGAGCCATAGGCGATGAGACATGTTCAACGGGACTCGAAACCAGGTCACACACTTCGGACTCTTAACCATTCAAAAAACAAAGTAAAGTTTGAACAATATCTGTCAATCCGACCATGAACAACGTACAATTCAATTTTTCCATTTTTACAACCGGTTATCAGTTGTATTACGTGGAGAGATCAAACGAATTGGATTGAAACGTAGTCACTAAAATTTCCTTCCATTCTGCCGCCATGTTTTTATTTAAATTGTTGGAATACGTAACAATGCGATAACCAAATTCGCCTTCGTTCAGCTGTTGACTGGTTTCCGTGGTTATTCTGTTACAACACGAGCTTTCGAGCGGTTTCTGTCTCGACACGCGTGGTTAGCGAATCAGAGAGTTTCAGCGATTGCCATGGATAAGATCGGAAAATCTGTAAGGAAACTGTGGAAAGCGATGGGAAAACAAATTAGAAGCAGCAAACCCACAAAAGCAGGAAGAAGATGGAAGGACATTTACCGCCTGGGGAAAAAGGTCAGTACCTACCGCCTTCACTTTGTGCCCCTGAAATTCATCAACGCAGTTTGTCAGAAAATAAAATGAAGTTTACGCTCGCCTAACGTAATACGAAGAGAAAACTGACATCCATTTTAATATTATCCTTCCATCGATGTGTAGGTCCACCAATTCGTCTCTTTCCTTCAGACTCTTGTGTGGGTTATCTGTCATCTCCGTGAGCATGCTACATGTTCTGCCAATCTTGTTTTATTCCATTCGTTAGTTCGTCTTAGTTTAGGCCTCGAAGCCACCGCGGACTCACGAAAATTACTTTTTCTTATAAAATCGAAACCGCGCGAATATTTGGGCCCGCGCAAGCCACGCCTAAACAACGGAATTGAATGAACCAGTTCGTTGTCCGTACTCGAATTTTCATTGTTTAATCGGACGCCTCTTTTTTTTAGAAGTCGTCCAGATCAGAGGACCAGACAGCATCCACTTATAGGTAAGTGATCTGGGCTTCGGTAAGAGACACACGAGTTGCATCAACTGTTGAGGCTATTGGAGCATATAGCAAATGTCGATGGCTTCACTGTTGAGCACAACACGTGGTCGCAAGGAAAATGTGTTAATTACCCACCTCAGCGTTTCGCACAACAATTAAGTCTCAGAATTACATTAGAGCCCTAGAAAAATTCATCGATCGACTTGTCTAGCGAGGGACTGTCGCCTGTCGCCTCTTATTGAAGAGAAATCTGGGAAAGATTTTTTATTAATTGTTTTAGGAACCGTCGTTCCACTGACAACTTTTATTAATTGTTTTGAAACTTTCAATATTGATCACGGATTTATATCAGTGATTGTACGTGGATGAATAATGTGATTGTGATCTATAATTTTCTTCTTGTGAAGTTAATCAATTTGCAGCATCACACGCGCACTAATGCATAAAATTGAATTATAATGAAATCAGGAATCCGCCTGTCCACCGAAGACCTAAATATTTAGAAATGTAAACGTAAGAACATGTAGAAATTTGTGTTAAATTTGTTTTGCATTTCCTGTGATATTCAAAGGTCATTGTTTCTGTCATAACGACGCAGAGTAGTGATTTTTAATTCCTTTTAACACAGGTCGAAGCCACTAGATGACTCTGTGGGCTGTAGCTCCGCTCCGCAAAATTTTGAGAGTGTAGACATCAATGAACAAATTCGGAGCGTGGATGATGTTGATCGGGCAGCCAACTTGAGGAGGTGTCCAGCCTTGGAAGAAGACTGTGTCGCCGTCAGATGGGAACGCGATGCTCTGAAGAGAACAGTGAAAGAGCTGGAATTGAAACTGCAGGCCAAACAAGGAACACTAGAGCGGAGGAATCTTTATTTAGAAGAGGAAATTTCAAGACTGACAGCAGAAAATAATTCCATTAGACCTGAAATTCAAAATCTCCACGACGCACGCACTACCGAAACGTCTGAAATGCTCGATAAATTCGGGAGACAGATCAGGGACTTAGAGGATCAGGTGGTAGAAGAGATATTGGCGATCGAACGAAAGTTCATTGAGGCAAACCGAAAGCTTCCGCAATTGCAAGACGAGATGAGCATTTTTGAAGACGCGAAAAGGCAATTGGATTCGATATTTGACGATCAGATGGCAGAAAACGAGAAGCTGGAAGCGGATTTGCGGGAGCTGGAGAGGGCGCTCAGTTCGGACAACGAAGCCATGATTGAGGATTGTGTACAACAATTTGCAGGGCTTCAGGGGCAATTGCTGCGTAAAATAAGGGAAGTTGAGTGTAATTATATCAGTTTGAACAAAGACTGCTTGCAAGTGAGAGACGAAAAGTCTATTTATGAAGCGTCCAGGCAGCAACTGGAGGAAACTTTTAATGACCAGATTAAGGGACTGTGTGCTCAGACACAGGAACTAATTGCCGACGTTAATCATAACGAAAAAGGAAATGCTAGGAGAACAGGCGTCTTCAGGAAGGAAATCAAAGAATGTTTTGATGGTTTAGATCAGCAAGCGCATTTTGAACTTGACAGTACCAACAGTAAGTACATTAGTCTGAAACACGAGGTTTATCAACTGGCGGAGGAAATGTCAAAGTCCAGACAAAGAGAAAATGCAGTTACTTGTGAATTGGATCGTATAGCCGGTCTGACGTCAGCGGCGACTGGGGAAAGCGGGAAAACCCAGAAGTGGTGGAAATGCCGTTCCTCCGGGAAAAAAGTGAGTACGAACTGCCCTTCTCCCATTTTTAGTGTTCCCGGAATCAAGAATGACAATTTGGGCCCCTCCGGGCAATTCCTGTCACGGAATATCTGCAGTTGCCTCTAGGAAGGAAGGCGATAAAATATTCAAATATCGAATTTCGAGCGTTTGTGGTGTTTGCGGGGTGCCAGGCGTTTAGGGGCGTAAAATTTTCTACAGCAATTTTTACCAACGTAAGTTCTAAATCGATCAAGTCACGTCCTTTCGGGAGTCCCCAAATTTACT